ATTTCATTCAGGGTTCCAGATCGTATCAGAATGTGGAACCAGGATTCAAACCCAGATATCCTGGTTCTAAACCCAGGACTCTTCAAATTCTACCTTTACAAGTTTCTGCACTAAGGATTATTCCCCACAGATTTGGAGTTTGGGTCATCTCCAATCATTCTCTTATTAGGAACTTGGCAAGAATTACATCACTTTGGGCCCTGGGTAATAAGTACTGGTCAATTCAATTCAATTCAATTCATAGACTCATAAAATTTGTTAGTTGGAAGGAAGCTGAGTGACAATACAGGCCAACTCATTAACAAAAGGAACACCCACTACACCATACCTGACAAGTGGCCATCCATCCTCTAACGCCTCCCATAGCAGAGAACTCCCTGCCTTTCAAGGCAGCCCATTCCATTCAATTCAACAAACTTTGATAAAGCATTACCTTGCACAAGGCATTGTGTTAAATACTGGGTATAAAAAGGCAACCTCAAGGTGCTTCCTGTCTGATGGAGTGATAACAATATAGTTTCATAGTTTTAAAATTGAGGAGCTCTGCAGCAGGTCACATGTAGTCTAACCCCTTCAACACAGATGAAGAAACAGAGGTCAGACAAGTTAAGCAACTTGCCCAGTCTCACAGACAGTAAATAACAGAGACAAAACCTGAACCCATGTCTAAATCCAGCACTCTTTTGAACTCTCTGTGTGTGTGTGTGAGAGAGTGTGAGTGGGGGTAGGGGATCAGGAGGGAGATACTGAGCTGACTTTTGAAGGGAGCTAAGGACTCTATAGGTAAAGTTAAGGATGCATATTCCTGGAAGAGGCTTGGCAGAGGTGACACGGGAGATGGAATTCTGAGCTTGGCAGGGGAGCTAGCAGCCCAATTTGTCTGGAACACAGCATGTGTTAAGGGTGGAATATGAAACGTCTTAAAAGGTAGTTTGGAGTTTGATTGTGGAGGGCTTTAAAAGCTAGGTTCAGAAGTTTGTATTTTATTCCAGAGACAATTGGGAGTCACTGAAGATTTTTGAAGAGGGGAGGATTCTTTTCGGCCACTGAATGTAGGATGGATTGGAGAAATGAGGGACTTGGTTGGAGCACAGAGACAAATGTCTAGATGAATGATGATAAGGATTTGAATTAGGGTAGTGGCAGTGTGAATGAATAGAAGGGGGTGGATGGGAGAGATGATTTAGAGATACAATCAACCATATTTGTCCATTTATTGACTATGGAAGGAGGGGCAAAGAAGAAAGGAGAGGTAAAGAAGCCTCCAAGTTTAGGAACCTAGGTGTCTAGGGGAACAGTGATGTCTTCAACAGCAATAGGACAGTATGGAGGAGGGAAAAGGGTTTTGTTTTGTATTTTTGAGAGTGAGAAAAAGATAATTAGATCTGTTTGGCCGTGTTAATTTTGAAATGCCTATGTGACATCCCAGTGGAGGTATCTAGCACAGGATGCAGGTCATGTGAGGGAGTAAGGCTGGATGTATAGATTTGAGAATCGTTTGCATAGAAATGTTAATTACTCCAGTGGGAGTAGATGGGATCACCAAGATCACAGAGAAAGGAGATTATATGTAGAGAAAGAAGAGAAGGGGGCACAGGGCAGAGCCTTGGGAGACACCCATGCTTAGGGGACAGGTGACAAATGAGTGGTTGTAAAAGTGGAAGGAGAATCTATTGACACACATAGGAGTGGCACTGGGGACCCAGCTGGCCAGTTTCAGTTCAACAATGCTCCTTCCTTCTTTCTTTCTTTCTTTTTCTTTTTCCTTCCTTCCTTTCCTTCCTTCCTTCCTTCCTTCCTTCCTTCCTTCCTTCCTTCCTTCCTTCCTTCCTTCCTTCCTTCCTTCCTTCCTTCCTTCCTTCCTTCCTTCCTTCCTTCCTTCCTCTCCCTTTGTCCACATAGAAAATCATACCTATGGGTGCTGGGCCCAAAGGAATATAAATTTTGATCGCTGAAACTTTGCAAGATATTTTGGGGTTTATGGGCTAGATTTCTTTTTTAAGGACCATTTACCTTAAACCCAAATCACTCTAGCTCTCATTGATTGGCCAATAATAGGTCCCAGCCCAAGCCCTCACTTGGTCATTGTTTGGGCTCAGATGGCTCAGAGTGAGTGTAAATAGCAATTGTTTCTGTTTTGGCCAGAAACCCTGAGGGTCTTCTCCTCCTAGATTGATTTTTTTTTTTAACTAGATAAAAGAGGCCATTCTTTGCCTCAATTCTTACCTAGCCTTAATCACTGAATGGGCATTGCCTCAGTTAAACTGAGACCTGGGAAAGATGGTAGCTTAAAAATGCCAAGGTCTTGAATGCTGAAAACTAAAAATGAATTAAAAAAAAAGAAAAAAGTATATATAAAAAGAAGGCCAAGGTCTCCCATTGCATCTGTCCTCCTGATCTGTATCTTGCCACTGGATGCAGATGGCTCTGGAGGAGAGAGTAAGGCTGGTGACTTTGCACAGCCCTCCCTCACTTAAATCCAGTTCACTTGCACTTGCCTTCCTGATGCCTGGTCCTCTTCCAGAACATAGGACAAATCAATTAGAAGGAGAATCAGGAGAGCAATGGCATAAAAACCAAGGGAAGAGGGAGTACACTGGGAGAGGAGGCAGTGGACACTGTCCAAAGCTGAGGCCGAAGACGATTAGAATTGCAAAAAAAAAAAAGTCAGGTTTAAAAGGCAAGGTATCATTAGTAATCTTGGTAAGGGCAGTGTAAGTTAGAGTGGTGTGTGACAGGAAAGTAAAGGTGACTGCCCTCCCAGGGCAATCTGTGCTCTTAGCAGAAACTAGAACATGTGTCCTCTAAGAGATTGCTTTCAATCTTTCTCTTTCAGCTTTTGGAGAGAAGGGAAGATCAGTACGAAGAGCTGAGTCATAGTTAGAGCTAAGGTAGGACTTTACCCAGAGCAGCCTTTTAATTGTTGAAAGTTGGTGTAATTATTTATGAGGAAAGGCAAGTCGATGAATATGTTCTCGACATCCCTTTTCTCGTTTGTGAATTTCTCAAAAAGCAACTCATGATCTTGGGGAGGAAAAAAATAACCCAAAACAAAAAACCAACAACCCTCTGGGGAAAGGGATGCCTGGGGGGGAGGCAGCTTTAGAGGGCAAAGTGAGGATTTTCCATGCTAAATAACTAAGGAATGAGGAGGAGATGAGAGGAATTCTGGGGGGCGGGGCTTGTTCTGGGAGTCCATCCAGCAGATCTTGAGAATTTTTGCCCGTGGACATCTAAGAGTGAGGAAGTACTGAGTGAGACAAAGGAATTCTTTGGGAGCAAAGTTCTAATCATTAACCAAGATTCTTCTGTGACACATTCTCACCCTCCTCCGCTCCCCACCATTGCTTCCTCTGTCATTGAATGTGAGTGGAACCTAAGAACCCAGGAGTCAGAAATGAGGTTAATGTACGTAGCACTCTGCCTCCCCCTCCTCTGACATGCAGGCTCTCATGACCTTTCCCCTAAGTTTAAGGCAGGTTGTGCATATGGGCCAGCATCCACTCAGAAACATAGCTCATGAGCCCCCACTGATGTGCTTCTTTATACCAACTAACCAGAGAACATTATTTTAAAGCAAAAGACAGACATTTAAACAGTATAGTAAGAGACGCGACCCTTTCCCTCACATGTACAGGGGTACTTTCTCATTGGTTATCACATCAATAGTGTAAGAAGTAAGAGTGATAGGGAACATTTTTCTTCAGGGAACACTTGGAAAGGGGCATACATGTGGTGAACATATACAGTCAGGCACAGGCACAGAAGTCATATATAGGAAATACATGACACACACGTCCAGGGAAATTCACACCTCCAGTGGTTACGGAAGTACTGATTGTCTTTGGTAATGTCACTGGATGCGCTGGCTTCTCTACTAAGTTGGAGGCCCTCTACTGCCCTGCTCTCTTCTGAGCATTTCTACTTCGAGCTGTTGGGGACCTTCACTCGATCTTGGCCAACATCTGTTGACATTTGCTGACCTATGATGCTGGATTGCAGCTGTAAGGGCCTGAGATTTAAAAACAAACAAACAAATAAACAACAGTCCTAGTCAATTCCCCCCCCCCCTTCAGATTTTACCCAGTCACATTTAACCAGCTCACTTTGGAAATCCTTTGTTCATTTTGTCTGTTACTTGAAATGATTCTCAGTTTAACTCATTCCTGAGTTACGGAAAAACAAAACAACCCCCCTCCCAAACAAATATATGAGTGAGTAAATAAACATATAAACAAATAAATCCTACCATACTCCTGGCCTCAGAAAATCATTTCCCAGAGCTTCATTTGGGACACCTAGGTGGTGCAATGTATAAAATACCTGGCCTGGATGCTCTGTGTTCAGATCTGCTCTCAGACACTTACTAGCTATGTGATCCTGGGCAAATCACTTAACCCTTATTAGCCTCAGTCTCTCATCTGCAAAATGGGGACACACTGGAAAAGGAATGGCAAACCATTCCAGTATCCTTGCTAAGAAAACCCCAAGGGGACAGGTAGAGTCAGGAGTGAATATTAGGAGCTGAGTCAGGAAGAGCTGAGTTCAAATCCAGCCTCAGACACTCACTAGTTATGTAACCCTGGGCAAGTCACTTAGCCCTGTTTGCCTCAGGAGAAGGCAATGACCAACCACTCCACCATCTTTGACAAGAAAACCCCAGTGTCGTGAAGAGCCAGACACGACCCCACGACAAGTAACTAGTCTTGGGGAGACTTTTCTTCCCCTCCTCACCCTCAAGAGCCTTGTGTCCCTTGTAAATCACTGGTACTGGCTGGGGAGGAGGAGACTGGCCCCTCCCGCTTGACCACCTAGAGGCCCACATGCAGCTCCCCTCCCCCACATTCACCCCCCTCCCGACTGCGCGGGGGAGGGCCCACGTGACTGCGAGGACTCCACTTGTGGGGGGAGGGGCGCGTGACCCTCTCGAAGCTCCAGGCCTTTGTTGTCCCGTTGGGTGAAGGCGCTGGGGGGCGGGGCCACGCCGGGGCAGACGCTCCCGGGAGCCGCCATCTTGGACCCGCGGCCTCGCCCCGAGGCGGTGGCTCGCCGGTCCCGGCCCCGCCCTCGCGCCGCCATGTCGTCCCCGTCCCCGCTGGAGTGTTGGGTGCGACGGGACGTGCGCCTCCTCACGCTGGCCGGCCACGTGGGCTTCGACAGCCTGCCCCGGCAGCTGGTCAGCAAGTCGCTGGCCAGGGACTTCAGCTTCAACATCCTGTGCGTTGGCGAGACGGGCATCGGCAAGTCCACGCTCATGAACACGCTCTTCAACACGGTGCTGGAGACGTGCGAGGGCAGCCACTTCGAGAGCTGCGTGCGCCTGCGGCCGCGCACCTACTGCCTGCAGGAGTGCAACGTGAACCTGCGGCTGACCGTGGTGGAGGCGGCGGGCTTCGGCGACCAGATGGACAGGGACTGCAGGCCCATCGTGGACTACGTGGACGAGCAGTTGGAACGCTACCTGCAGGAGGAGCTGAAGCTGCAGCGCTGCCTCTGGGACTATCGCGACACGCGCATCCACGCCTGCCTCTACTTCATCGCGCCCACCGGCCACTCGCTCAAGGCCGTGGACCTGGTGACCATGAAGAAGCTGGACAGCAAGGTGAACATCATCCCCGTCATCGCCAAGGCCGACACCCTCACCAAGAGCGAGCTGCCCAAGTTCAAGAGCAGGATCCTGAGCGAGCTGGACCAGAACGGCGTGCGCATCTACCAGTTCCCCACGGACGACGAAGCCGTGGCCGAGGTGAACGCGTGCATGAACGCGCAGCTGCCCTTCGCCGTGGTGGGCAGCACGGAGTGCGTGCAGGTGGGCAGCCAGCTGGTCCGCGGCCGCCAGTACCCCTGGGGCGTGGTGCAGGTGGACGACGAGAGCCACTGCGACTTCGTGAAGCTGCGGGAGATGCTGATCCGCGTGAACATGGAGGACCTGCGGGAGCAGACGCACTGCAGGCACTACGAGCTGTACCGGCGCCGGAAGCTCGAGGACATGGGCCTGCAGGACGACTCGGGGCACGAGGCGCGGAGGAAGTTACTGCTGGCCGAGATGCGCAGGAAGGAGAAGCTCCTGAGGCAGACGTTCGCCAGCCGGGCCCGCGAGGTGGAGATGCAGGTGAAGGGGAAGGAGAAGGAGCTGAGCCAGAGGTTCGAGGACTTGAAGAGGATCCTCCAGGAGGGGAAGGCCAAGGTGGAGGAGAAGCGCCGGCAGCTGGAGGAGGACAAAAACGCCTTCAACCACAGGCGGGCAGCCGTCGAGGCCATGCAGGCTGAGGCCGCGCAGGCCCCAGGCTTACAGGCCGACGGCCAGCAGTCGACCCCGAAAAGAGAAAAGAGTAAGGACAGAGACAAGAAGCATTAAAGCACGTGCAGATGAGCGCATCCAGGGGATTTTGGATTTTCTTTAAGCTTCCTGAGTTATCAGCCTGAAAACCAGTATAGACTCCAACGTTTGCAGCGAAATGCAGCACGCCCAGCCCAGTAAGCTGGACCCCCCCCCCCCCGCAAAGACCGAAAAGGATCTAACGTTGGAACTGAAACTGACGAATTTTTTTTTTTTTTCAGAACCCGTGGTTGTTGTTCCATTTATAGGCTGCTCATCTCTTGGGAGCAACTCGTGTCAATTTAATGCAGCCCTATGACCACAGTTATGTTGTATTCACCTGTTCAAAGTCGAGATGGCTGCTTACAAGGTGCCTGTCCTGGGTTGTCACTACTCTGCTGAAGAAATTCACCTGAATTACTTTAATGTTTCTAATCAGAATTTGACTTCCCTAAAAATTTTTTGAACACTTCTTAATTTGTATCTTGATGCAAATAAAGCCAAATCAGTTCTTCCATTATTTCTTACAAGTAACACACTTCCTGTCAAAACAAACTGTACTAACAAAATGTAGTAACGTTCTCTAAGCTTTTGCAATCAAGTGTCATATGGGATACAGTGAAAGGAAAGGAGGGTGTTATCTTAGAGAAAAGAAACTGAGGGAAAGCATTGATTATTGTCTTCAGAGATCTAAAGGGGTACATGAAATTTTCTAGGCCTAGGATTTAGACCTCATTGACTCAAAGTCAGATTCCTAGTCATTAGCTCCTCCCCTCAGAATTGGTCTAGGGGAGCTTCACTTATGGCCGTAGAACTTTTTTTTTAAACCATCAGCTGCTTTTTATAAAATTCTCTGATCACTGTACCCCAGCTGAAATTGTTACTCTTCTTGGTGTTCTCGTACCTTGAACCTCCTGGGATTCATGAGTTTAGATACTACTCACACTTTATTACTAATTTCACAAGACCATAGGATCATAAATCTAGAGCTCCCTTATTTTACAGATGAGGAAATTGAGGCCCAGGAAAGTTGAGGCACATGGGTAGTATTTGAAATGGGATTGTAACTCAAGTCTTCTGGCTTTAGAGTAAAGTATTCTTTCCATTGTACTGCATTATCTCCTAGATGACTTTTGAGATCTCTTTTGGCTTTTAAATCTTGTGATCTAATTCTATGACCACAAAAGTGGTCATATTGACTGACTGACTGACGTAGTAATAGTCCATTACATTCATACATCCCAATTGGTTAAGCCATTACCCAACTGATGGGTAACAACTTTGTTTCCAATTCTTTCATAAAACAAAAAAAAAGTCCTGGCAGAAATATTCTGGTGAACGTGGAGCATTTCTGTTTTAAATCAATGATGTCCTTTGGAGTACATGGCTGGAAGTGGAATCTTCAGGACAGAAGAGTATGGACATTTTAGCCACTTAATTTACATAATTCCAAATTGCATCCCAGAAGGATTCTTACAACATCATAGTTCCACCAACAATACATTAGTATGTCCATCTTTCCACAGCACCTTTATACCTGTCTTTGACACCTTTGTCAATTTTCTTGATGTGAAATGAAACGTTAGGGTTATTTTGATTTGCTTTTCTCTTATTAGTGATTTGGAGCATTTGTTCATGTGGCTAATACAAGTGAGAAGTAGAAAATTCTTTTGAGAAATGTTTGTTTATATCTGTTGGCCACTTCTGTGTTAGGGAATGGTTTTTGTTCCCAGGTATTTTTGTTAGTTGTCTACATATCTTCAATATGTAGAAAAATTCTTATTAGAAATATTTTTCTCAGTTAACTGATTCTCTTTATCTTAGATACATTGTTTATGCAAAAAGCCTTTCAATTTCATGTAATAAAAATGATCAATTTTATCTTTTATAATTGCCTCTGTTGCTTATTTGGTCAGGAATTCATCTCCTACCCACTGCGGTGAAAGATGTATGATCTGCTTCTCTTCTAATTTTTTCATGGTATGGTTATTACTATTCAGGTCATGTATCCATTTTTGAATGGATTCCTAGATGGATGTAGATGTTCTGTGGAGGTAACTGTTTATCTGCTGACAAAGAAAGTGCATCTGAGAGGTGCTTTCCAAACACTGAGCATTGCTCTTTTAATCTCAGAGGTTAAGGACCTGGAAAAGCACCTTGATGCTTGAATGCTCCACAGACTTTTCATATATACTTTCTGGAATTCACGGCTTAAGCAAGAATTTCGATGTTCTATTTCTCAGTGGGATGGACTTACACATGTTAAATATTATTTTGCTAGATGGTGTCTCAGGAGAAAACCATTGGTCTCCCTGGTCCAGGAATTAGCCAACGTGTTGGAACCATAACTCTTGAACCCCTTTAGGCAATAGCCAACAAGAGGTGGGGGGCTCGAGCCCGAGAATTATCTGGCAGACCTCAGCTCTTTCCGGATACAATTGCTGTGGAAGGGAGGAACTACAAAGAGGCAGTGAAAGCCTTGAAGACTGAATATGGGAGAGGCTTGCAGAACTCCCCAAGGAGTGAGGGAGAAACATTAAAAGATTCCAACCTTAAAGGGAAAGCTAGAAGGCTGGCTGTGGCAGTTCTACTGTCTGGAAAACGAAGCATACGGTGCGGAGGTTTTGGAGATTTGAACTGAGAAATTCAAGCTTTTATGTAACAGAAAAGAGATGGCAGGGACTTTCCCAGTGTTTATGAAAACCGGGGCTTTTTTTTTTTTGAAGAGATGGGTGGTGGGGTGGGGTGAAGAGTGATGTATATGAAGTAGGAAAAATTAAGAGTAGAAAGAAAAGAGGATGATTTACTTGAAATAAAGGACCCACAGACACACCACAAGTTAGGATTTGGCTCCTTTCTATGTACAGGGCTTGGTTATTGTTTTGCAGATTCCGATATAAAAAAAAATGGAAAGAGGCTTTGCTTGCTTTGAGCTTCACAACGAAAGAAAGGAATTGAGCTTTTTCCTAGTTTCAGTTGATGTTATTATTGGAAAGAACTTCTAAGTCTAACCAGAGTATCAAGGAGACGATGATTCAAATGCTCCTTCTATCTGCCCCTCTCCTTCCTTTATTTTGGGAGAGGCACAGATGTGTTTATATTGGTGTTCTCAATGCTAGAAAGATGGTAGAAGGAATGGCTGTAGGTGGGAAGGGAGAAATTCTTGCTATTAATGATGTCTTCTCCCAGTCTACAATCTCTTTGTGTGCTCCCCCGACACTGCCCTGAAACATTCTCAGCTGCTGATTTAAATGCCAAGAAAAGTCAATGGGAGTTAAATGACTACTTTTCTGCCTCTCAAGCCTCAACTGCGCAGTATGAGTCACCACATTCGTTATACTTTTCAGGTTAACTGACATTTTTCTTAATTTGAACTGGAGGGGCCATTTAATTTTGATGATATGAAATTATTAGAGAAATGACTTTATAAATGGAAAAGCATTTTACAGTCCAGGTATTAAATCCGATAAAGGATATGCACCTGGCATTTCAATGAAGAACCATAACAGTAAATGACCCCGCTCTACGAAAGTTAAGGAACAAAACTGTCACAGAATTTGTGAGTCAGAAGGGACCTTAGCAGCCACATAATCTAAACCATACGCAAAAGGAATCCTCACTATTATGGTCCCAAGTGGTCATGCAGCCTCTACTTTGAGACCTCCCAGGGTGTGAACTCACTAGATAGGTAGATATTCCATTGCACATTTGGACAGCTCTAATTTCCTGACATTGGCTTCTTTGTAACTTCCACCCGTTGCTTTTGGTTCTGCCCTCAGGGTTCAAACAGAACAAGTCTAATTCCACCTTCAGATCCTCCACGACAGAAACCCTACCCACTTCAGTCTTTTCTTCTTCAGGCTAAAGATCCCCAGTTCAAGCAATCTCCATATGACACGAACTCAAGATCCTACACCATTCTGATTGGCTTCCCCTGGATTTTCAATATCCTCCTTCAAACATGGAGCCTAGAAACAAACCCAGATGAGATTTGGTAAAAGCAGACTACAATAGGACCATCACCTCCCTGTTCCTGTTAATGATGGCTCTCTTACCGCAACCCAAGACTGCATTAGGTTTCCTTGGCTGCCACATTATACTGCTGCTTGCAGTCCACTAAAACTCCCAGAATTTTTTCAGAACCATTTTTATCTAACCATGCCTCCCCAGGCATACATTTGTGAAGAAGAGTTATGTAGCCACGTGTAAGGCTTTATATTCATCCCTGTTGGATTTTTGTTTTCAGACAGCCCAGTGCTCTAGTGTGCCCAGATCCTGATGGATCTTAACTCTTTCCTTTAGTATGTTAGGTGTCACTCCCAACTTTGTGTCACCTGAAAATGTGATGAGCATGCCACTTGTGCCTTTATAGCAGTCATTTTGAAAAATGTGAAACAGCCCAGGGTCTAGTGAAGATCCCTGGGCTACCCCACTGGAGACCAATGGACACATAAACATTGAAGCAAGAGCTAGTCTTGGATTCTAGCTATTCAACCAACTCTGAATCGAATTACATTCTCATCTAATCCACATCTATTCACCTTCTCCTCAAGAATAGCATGAGATACTTTATCAAAAGCTTTGCTTTTCACACCCAGATGCACTCACTTGGATTTCTGCATCATGGTCCAGCAGCAAGATCGCTTCAACACTGAAATGCACACCTGACCAGTACCATCTGCATCTGGGGCCCAGCCCTCTGATTGGATGGTGGAGAGTGCCTCCTAATACCTTCATTTAAGGAGGAGGCTCAGGCCAACCATCACTTCATCTCCTACCTTTTCCTGTTGACCACTGATCAACTGCCCACAACAGCCATTGATCGGCTGCTACAAACAATCGAGCAGAATGCAGAGTCCTGGGGGGTAGAACCCCCTCTCCACCCCGATCCCCATCACTCTTGCTTCTGGCCTGGCTCCAGCATCCAGAGGGGCAATCTCTGTGGAGAAGGGATTATCTCTGCCACTACCCTTACGGAGATAAGACCTGGACATACCCCTGCAGGCGCTGCAGCCCACTCTTCCCCAACAGACTTGAAAAAATATTCTCATCACCAAAGTCCTTGGCAGTCAAGTGTTTCAACATTAAGAAATAGATTTGGTTTTATCCATAGAAATGACACTAAAGAAGATGCACGACTACCTGCTTTGCTGCTGCACCCTAATGTCTTTTGGGCCTTTCCATCTGACTTAATAATAACTAGTATTTCTATAGCTTCTTCAAGTTTGCATATGTTATCCTCACAGCAACCCTGTGAGGTAGGCACTATTATTATCTGCATTTTAATACACGAGGAAACTGAGGCTGAGATAGGTTTAACAGCTTGCCTAGGGTTGTATAGCTAGTAAGTGTCTGAGGCCAGATCTGAACTCAGATCTTCCTGATTCCATCCCCAGTGATTAGTAGGCTCCTTGTTTTGTATGTTGGTGAGCAGAATCTTGTTTGTGCACAGGTCAGCCCAGATGGCTACTGAGGTCTCTTTACACTCTGAGATTCTGCCATCTTCTCAAAAACCAAAATTTCTTCCTATGCTCCTTTAGATTCATTGATAAATCATGAGAGAACCTGGCCTACTGTATTAGGAAAAGATGTATTTTATATAGGTTGGGGTGGCTTCCCTTTAAGGAAGAAAGGAGTCCATCCTCTGGACCCAGGCCACACTTGCAATATTTTGTCTCTAGATAATAGAATCAGAAATATAGAAAATTATAGCTTTAAAGGGGCCTTAGAGGGTAATCTAGTTCAACTTATCTACTTTACAAATGAAGACAAGGACCAAATAGGAAAATGACTTGCCCAAGGTAATGCAGCTAGAGAGTATCTGGGGATGGGAATTGAACCTGGGTCTTTCTAATCTATGTCCAGTGCTCTACTCATGATGTCATGCTGCCTTTCTAAGAAAGAAATTGATATGGAGGGGGCTGTAGGGGGTGGGTGATATGTTGTCACTGTATACAAAATGGATTGGAATTGGGGAATAGGAAGACTGGAAGCAGGGATATGAGTCAGAAGCCGTTACATCAGTTCAGGTAAGTAGTAATTCAGCCTGAACTAGGGTGGTGGCTATGAGGTAGAAAGAAAGGAAAATGACGTTGTGGATAGTTAAGCAATAGCACTTGGCAACTGATTATATGCTACGTTAAGGGAGAAAGAAGAGTCTAGGTTGGTAATAGCATGGGTGTAGAGATGGAAGGGACCCTGAAGATTACCGAGTCAAATCCTCTCATTTGGTGGATGAGGAAACTTATGCCCAAAGAGAGGCAAGGGGTTTTTACCCATAGGTCACAAAGGTCTCAAGGGGTCAGAGATGAAATCTGAACCCAGGTCCTCAAATTCCCAAAGCCACACTCTTTGTACTACATCAGAATGACTCTGGGGTTTCACACCTTTCAGACCTTGGTGACCAGGAGAAGAGTGAGACCATCGACAGAGAGGAATAGGGAAGAAGGCCAGATTTTGGAGTGAAGATGATACTACTCATCAAAAGACGGCTAGGAGACAGTCATTGCTCCTTGTGGGTTACTGGCATATTTATTTTTGTTCAACTCAATTTGCCTTTTAATTTGGATCATTATCTCTTCAAATGCATTTATAACATTCATGCTTGCACACACAGCTGTACTTCAGCTTTCTTTGATGACCTGAAACTGAAATGCTTTAAACATAGTAAGCATCTAATGTTTGTTGAATGAATG